CAATAATGTGCTCTCCAGACTCCTCAATGGAGCAGACAACCATAGGATCAGACTTGGCCAAACGTTTGAGACCTTCAACAAGTTTGGGAAGGTCAGATGCGACCTTGCACTGGACAGCAACACGCACGACAGGTGAAACAGAGAACTTCATAGCACGAATAGGGTGAGCATCCACTTCCTTCTCATTTGTTAAAGTAGCATTCTTGGTGATAAACTGATCCAAACCGACCAAAGCAACAGTGTTACCACAAGGAACATCCTCCACAGTTTCTTGTCTCTTTCCCATCCAAATAACCGTCCTCTGTACGTTCTTGACATACAAATCCTTCTTTTCTCCAGGAACAAAATTTGGACCCATGATTCTAACCTTCAAACCTGTCTGAACTTTACCAGCAAAGACACGGCCAAAGGCAAAGAATCTACCCTTATCAGAAGCAGGAATCATCTTAGACACATAAAGCATAAGAGGTCCTTCGGGGTCACAATTCCTGATGGCATTCGCATATTGATCATCAAGGGGACCCTCGTACAAATTCTCAACACGGTACCTTTGAGCCGTGGAGGGAGAGGGAAGGTGAAAGATCATCATTTCCAATAGAGCAGTGCTAGCTGGTAGCCAGGTCTGCATAACACGCTTCATCAAAGCCTTCCCCATCAGGTCCTTCTCATCACTCTTCATGGTGACACCAAGCTTTGTCAACATGGGCCACAACTTATCCTTCTGATCATTCATGCAGGTGTTGATGATCTGCTTGATGGGCTCATAACAGAACTGAACAAAACCACGCTTGCAAGTAGCAGTTCCAGTGTTCTTGCTGGTCCATTTCTTGGTAGCTGGGTCAAAGAAGTTCTCACCCCAGAGCCTTTCCATCATCTTTGACTCATCAACTCCAAACTTGGAAGCATACATCTTAGCGAAGTTGGTCAGAGTGAAAGCCCAACCATGCAAACCAGCTGAAAAGGCAACGGTTCCTTTCTCTGGGTAAACCTGGACATCACCAAGAAGTGGATCTTCATATGTAGCCATAATGACATTGGCATTTTCAATAACTCTTTGGAATGTCTGGTAAGCCTCTTCTCCATCGACCTGGAGCTCAAGGAAGCACCTGTCCATCTTGTTAACAGTCAAAACAGGCCTGATCCTCTCTCCCAAGGCTTGACGGAGCACAGTCTCAGTCTGGACACACACACCCTCAATACAATCCACCACCACAAGTGCACCATCAGTAATACGCAGAGCAGCTGTGACCTCAGATGAAAAGTCAACGTGCCCGGGGGAATCAATGAGATTGATGAGGTACTCATTTCCATTTCTCTCTCCCTTGAACCTCTGCAAAGACTCATCAGTCATCTCATAGTACAAAGAGATACCGGTAGATTTGATTGTGATACCACGCTCGGCTTCATCTGCACGGGTATCCGTCATACGGACATCACCAGCAACTTCCTGTGCAATGATGCCAGCAGCAGCGACAAGCGAGTCGGTAAGAGTTGACTTCCCTGCGAGCATAAAAAATTTAGCATCATTGTTTTGTCACGTAGCCACAGATACAACACAACAAGAAGCAAGAAAATCAAACATCCTGCAAATTACAATGGACATCATGAAGAAAAAATTAAATTGCGTAGAATCAGTTCTAAATCTAATTGACGTTAAGTGTGTAAAATAAGTGCAATATAATACATACCATGGTCGACGTGCGCAATAACAGACATATTACGAATGTTGTGTTTGTAGTCCATAATCCTACGGAGCTCCTCAGCTGTGAACTTCACCTGCACATACAAAAAATTGTCTCTCAGTTAAGAATATGCAAACAATGAAGAATTTTAGCAACCCACTGAACCAAAATAGCAAAACAAGCATCGTACCATCTTGTCTCTTCTTCAAATGTCACCTCCAAAAATACTATTAATACCTGCCAACAAGAACTGTTAAAACAAGGTAATTAGATAAATAAAACAAGAACAAATAACAAGATCCCATTAATCAGATACTCACAAAATTACACATCATCTAATTGAAATCCAAAGAATATTATGAAAGTAATTTCTCAGATTCTTGATGCTTGTAAAATGATGAATTTCGATAAATACAATACATACAAGTTTATGAAAGAAAACATATAAGTTACCCGTTTAAATCTGCTATGTGATTAAGCAAGTAAATCCATGCGATATTCATCTATATATCAAACGAGTTATTTAACAACAAAAACCCAAAAGCACTTCTTCATCCAAACAAAGCTAAAAAGCACTTTTTTCATCGAAACAAACTATAAACAGCAAATAAGCAGGGGAAAAAAAAAAAAAAACTCAATCCAATCGATTCCAAGACATAACAATCGAATATTAACTAATTTCGCTATATAGTTACAGATCTTGAGCAAGAAAAATCGAAAAAATGAACAGAAACTCAATCAATTGAAGTAAACGAGCATGGTCATTTCTTCAAAGCAAGTAAACGCTGAGAAATTTCAGATCTAAATATTGTGCAGAGAGAGAGAACGAACCAGGTGACAAGGTGCGAGAGAGGCGGCGGGCGAAAGAAGATGAAGCTCGAACGTCAGACCTCTCCTTTATATGCAAAAGGAAGGGAGGGTTTGAGAGAGAGAATAAAGTGTGACTGAAGGGTATATGCGGTTGTGAAGTCTAGGGTTTTGCAATGAACTGGGCTGGGCTGGGCTTTGGTTTTGTAAATGGGCCTGTGGTTTGGTTTTGGATGATGGAAGACCAACGTCCAATGAATTCTTGAGATTGAGAATCGAGTTTTGAAAAAAGTTTTGTCCCCTGAAGTAACATCTTTTGTGCCACCGTTAACGCAGGGTCTTTTTATATTCCTAAAATAGTACAGACTTGAGAGAGGCCCAAAAAAAGCTCAAAGACCAGAGCCCAAAGAAGGGAAGGAAGGCCTAGGCCCAAATAATGAAAGGAAGGCCTAGGCCCAAAGGAAGAAAGGAAGACCAAGGTCCAAGGAAATTAGAAATGGGAACATTGAGCACCACATAGAACCGCTCATCAGTCTGATATGCATGCCAACAAGGAAGCCGAGCACCTCCTCGTAAAGTATTTTCCGACCGTTAAAGGCAAGTTGGCATACTGACAATTTTATAGCACGAAGTCTCAAGAGTAAGCCTACTCGAACACCAACCCCAGGCCACGTGTTGGCCATCTGTAAGAGCAGAAGCCTATGAAGGGACATAAAGATTGTCAAACCAAGTGCTTGGACATGATTTTCCTCAAACCCCAAGGCGGAGCAAGGAGCTCGGCACGCGTTGGCCTAAGAGAACATGCAAGTAAATCTAGACGAACGTCTCTTCATTGCCACATGTCGACTAAAGAATCGAGGGGATGTAACTCAATTTCAAGGGATGAACCACTTAATCTTTGTTACCACATGCCGACTAAAGAATTGAGGGGATATAACTCAATTTCTTTGCATTTCCCTATCTTTCTCCTTTCTTTGAAATCGGTTCAAGACTATTCTATCTGATCATGAAAAGGAAGCTGTTGGAGCAAATTTGATGGCTTCCACATTTGTTAATCATGCACAAGTTGGTCATCCTTATATAATGAGCATGGCTGCAACTTACTATATGGTCATTCATCTAGCATACTTACTTGACCAAAAAACATATTCATCTGGCATACGTTGGTGCTACATTATTGTCAAATATCAAGAAGGTTGGACTCGGGAGCACAAGGCACCTGTTCGAAGATAAGCCTTTCTCTCAAAAGTATGACATGCTAAATTTCTGTGTGGATCAAGTTGTTTATTTTGGTGTTGCTTGGATACGACATTAAGACTTACCTTATTTTAAGGCGGCGGGATGGTTAGGATCCACCAAACATTAAACTCATTAGACTTACCAGAGTGAATAGCGTATGACTGAAGAATATTGCTGGTTTATTTCTTAATTTCTTTGCAATTCTCCTTTCTACCAAATGGGTACCATCAAACTGTTGACACAATATGACAACACAACTTGAAATTTACACAAAATTAGTATAAAGAAACTCTAATTGTGTGATTGAATTCATCTAATTTCAGAAGATATTCAAAACTCTAAAAAGGAAGGTTCACATTCAAATACAATCATGGATTGATATAACGATTTCATTAGATTGTAATCTGACGTAGTGATATGAGTTTATTCAAATCATAATACATGTACATTTACATGTATGTAAACCTTAATCAATAAATGGTGAACCATAGACATAATACATGTTATAATTTGGATGAATATTTTCATATGGCGATGTACTATCGCACATATAAGTACGCAACACTTTTTTTATTTTGAATATTTCATATGGTAGCACAACTATGCCTTAGTTAAATGAATCATCACAAAAGAAATTAATGTGAAACTCTAACAATTTATGTGTATTATTTGTAAATTTGTACAGTTCATTCATGACTCATGAGGTTAAATTGGTAAGGTTTGATTTTGTTCGATGTTGAACTTAAAATAAGACTTTTAACTTAGTGACAGAGCAATTTAGAGACGGGGGCACGCAATGTATAAGCTATAATAAATTGAATACCTCACAATTTAAGTTTCTAAGTCCTTGAGCCTTAAATTAAGCTCTTGCTTGTTTATATATGCTATATGGAGTAAACAAATATAAAAGGTTTTTCAATATCGAATTTTCAAGCGACATGCAAACAACCAGGCTCATTTTATTTGCCGCAGCACCCCTGAGTGACGTTAACGTTTTTTTTTTTCATCATGAGCCCTCGATGGCATGGGCACTAGATTTTAAATATTTACATGAAATATTTTGAACATCCAAATTTTGTAGACAAAGAAAGAGGAAAATTAATTAGAATACATATATGTGTGTGTGTGTGTGTGTGTAAACCAGCATATAACATGAACTGAATTGTCTTAAACTGTTTAGGGGTGAAAAAGGTCAAAGGAAAACAAAAGTAATTAACACTAATTAACCAAACATGAACTTACACTTACACACTGCATTATGTATGAATTCATTTACACAAGAAACGCCGTCGGATCAAAAGCAAGCTGTTGTACGACTAATCTAAGCTCATCCCAATTTTCATTCAGAAGATCATGATCTTGAAACGAAAAATTTGAGAACTTTTCCATGTACGGATGTGTTAAATTAGGCTGCTGCATGTTGGAGCTCAACTGGCCTGCTGCATGCACATGCAATTGGTGACTTCCATTAATAATACTGTTTATATTGTTGGTATGATTCACAACAGGCTTCTTCTCCTCGTAGTAAATGTCGGAAGCACCGAAACTGATATAAGTGTTAGATTGTTCGAGATGGTCTTGTCGATCAGTAGCAAATTTCTTGGAGTTTATGGTGTCCGTTGGATGACGTTTAGCTGCAGATAGATCTCTTCAATCTGGGGTGTACTTTTGTATGAAACATTTCTTTTGAATATCCGACACAATGTCCATATTTACCGATACAAGTGAAACCGTGATGAATTCATCAAAATATAAGCCTTTATATATGGTCAAATGGAAAGGAAAAAAGGAAAATTTTATTTTAGATTCAGGGTTTGTCATGTGCATATGGACTTAATTACTGGTTTATGATTAAGGTTAATTTCAGAAATTGTCTTGAACTGACTTGTAAATATGTAGTTAGGTAACAAACTATCATAATTAAACTGTGAATCTGAATTACCGATCAGGTTGATTCTTCCCTAAATTCTATTGTTCATATTTGCAGCCGGACAACACAAGTCTTGAAAGAAAGTGTTGCCCTACATGAACAAAATTTTAAGTACTTAGTAAATGAAAAAGATTACAACTATGCAAATTTTTCACTTACAGCTTGTTGCTGAAGATCAGTATTCATATTCTTAGTGTTAGAGCTTCGGTTATTGTGTTCATACGAGCTAGAGGAATTAGGAAGGCGAAACTCTTGCATCATCCAATCGGTTTTGCTGCCTTTGCCTGCACTTCCACAGTAGTAAACCAATGTTTTCTTTAGGCCAATGCAGGCATGGCCCTCTCCTCCGTGGGAATGTATCGGCTTGTCGATTCCAGTTGCCTTCCAAAATCCAGAACCTGTTACTCTGTTAGGTCTGATGCTGTTCTTGTACTTTCTCCCTCTTTTACAGAAGAAGTACCATTCCTTATCTCCTGCGGTTTCTGTAAACATAAATATTCACGTTAATCACAAATTATGGTCTACAAATATGGTTTTTCTACATCACCCTTACATGAAAAACTGAAGTACTGCAGAATATTTTTGCTGATAAAAAATTATAGAATAATTTTTCTTGATAGTATAGCTGTAGTAGTTGAATTAAAGAACTAGTACTGGGAAATGGTGCAACCAATATATTATAGGCCACTTTTATCACAGCATCTTTTGAGTTTTTGGAGCAATTTAAGCCAACTTCTTTTCTTCTGCTTTCTTTTCAAAGTACGAGAGACTTAAAGAGAAAATAGCAAAAAATAATCAGAAATTTAGCAAAAGCAATTAAAAATATGGGCATATATATGTTCATACTTGGAAGATCCCAAGTGTTGACTGATATTGACTCAAGGAAATGCCACATAATCTATCATGTCATCAATATTACTGTTGAAAGTTAGTTAGGATGGTTATTAGTAGCTTACACAGTAAGAATGGTTGTTAGGCTACTAGAGAGGTATAAAAGGCTGATTGCGGCTTAATGTTTGTATTAAGAAATCATTCTATCAATGCAATATCTCTCGTCTTCTCTCTAATTTTCTCTCTAATCTTTCAATATTCTCTGTACTACTTCCTTCTTCTTCTCTCTACAATTCTAGTTACTTTTGTTAAGATGGTATCAATCGCCTGGACGATCCTTGGTGCTATCTCTTCTGCTGACGAGTTCATTGAAATTCTTGGTGGTTCGCTGCAGTTCTTACAAATTTGTTGATTGGTTTTCTTTGATTCTTGGGTTGTTGTACAGCGTATGAAGTCGATTACTTTTCTCCTTTATTTCTGCACACCAAGTGTTTGTGTTTTTGCATCAAAATTCTTAGGATCTCAATGCTCATACCCATAGCTCTCATACTCTCTCAACATCAACTAAGTACAATATCATTGTTGTCTGTCCACAGTCCTTCACAATTAGAGGTAATACTACCAATCTCCTCTCCTTTGGTTGAAACTAATGAAGAATCAGTTCACAATATGGTCACCAGGTTGAAGTCAGGTGCAGTTCCACGAAGATCTTACACAGGGTACATTGCTTCATTTCCAGAATTACAAACACTACAGATAGAAGATAAGTGTGCATTTACTGGGGCTTTTTCTTTCATTGCTGCAATAAAAGATTTGGAGGAACCATTAACATTCAGAAAAGCTTCTACACTCCCACAGTGGCAATGTGCAATGCGAGAAGAGTTTAATGCACTCAAAGCTCAAGGAACATGGCAATTGGTTCTTTCTCCACATAACAGAACAATTATTGGAAGTAAGTGGGTATATAAAGTTAAGAAAAATCCTGATGGAAGTGTATCCAGGTATAAAGCTAGACTTGTGGCTCAAGGTTTTTCCCAAGAACAAGACATTGACTACTCAGAAACTTTTAGTCCAGTGGTACAACATACTACTATAAGACTCATTTTGTCATTAGCAGCTATACATAAATGGGAATTGAGGCAGTTGGATATCAAAAATGTATTTCTGCATGGTGACTTACAAGAAGAAGTGTATATGAAACAACCTCAAGGGTTTATTGATCAAACTAAACCCAATTATGTCTGCAAGTTGATTAAATCGTTGTATGGGTTGAAACAGGCACATCGGGCATGGAATTCAAAGTTCACAAGCTATTTACCAGCTTTGGGATTTGCTGCATCTTCATCTGACACAAGTCTATTTGTGAAAAGTGATGACAAGGATGTGGTGGTTCTTTTACTATATATGGATGACATCATTTTGACAGGTTTAGATGCTGGTAAAGTTCAACAAGTCATTGAAGATTTGGCAGGTGTTTTTGACTTAAAGGATATGGGAAGACTTACATACTTCTTGGGACTCTAGATTCACTACAAGGAGAATGGAGACATATTTTGTGAATCAATCAAAGTATGTTAAAGATCTTATTCATAAAGCTGGAATGAAATCTTGCAAACCTGCAAATACTCCATGCAAACCACACAATCAAATGCTATTGAATGAGGGAACACCATTGCATGATTCTACATTGTACAAAAGTTTGGTTGGTTAACTGCAATACCTCACTTTTACACGCCCGGATATAGCTTATGCTGTGAATTCAGTGTGTCAATTTATGACTGCTCCAACATATGTACATCTCACTTCTGTGAAAAGGATTATAAGATATCTTCAAGGCATTGCAGAATGTGGAATTACATATTCAGCTGATACTGATATTCATTTGATAGCATTCTCTGATGTTGATTGGGCTACCGATTTGAACACAAGAAGGTCTGTGACTGGCTATGTGGTATATCTTGGGGGAAATCCAATCTCTTGGCAATCAAAGAAACAATCCTCAGTCTCTCGAAGTTCTACAGAGGCAGAATACAAGGCACTTGCACATACTGCAACAGATGTGGCATGGATTTGGTTGCTTGTGAAAGATTTGGGGGTTGCATTACCTATTCAACCAACAATATTCTGTGACAATATGTCAGCAATAACCCTTAGTGCTAATCTGGTGTATCATTCGAGAATTAAACACCTTGATACGGATTATCATTTTGTTCGAGAAAAGGTGCATAATGGTGATCTGTTGGTTGAGTATCTACCTACCGATGAACAGACAGTCAATGTTCTTACTAAAGGCCTACACAGTTCAATGTTCACCCGACATTGTTTCAATCTCAAACTTGGTTACCCTAGTTAAGATTGAGGGGGGATGTTGACTGATATTGACTCAAGGAAATGCCACATATCTGCCATGTCATCAATATTACTGTTGAAAGTTAGTTATGATGGTTATAAGTAGCTTACACAGTAAGAAAGGTTGTTAGGCTACTAGAAAGGTATAAAAGGCTGATTGCGGCTTAATGTTTGTATTAAGAAATCATTCTATCAATGTAATATCTCTCATCTTCTCTCTAATCTTTCAATATTCTATGTACTGCTTCCTTCTTTTTATTCTCTCTGCAACTCTGGTTACTTTTGTTAAGACCAAGGATCATGTTTGTAGATGTCAATTGATTTGATGAGCTCTAAGCTGATTGGTTTCTTCTGAATCATTCGACAAAGATAGAAGTCTACAGGTTCTTCATCTGTTGGGTGAAACCGAAATCCTGGTAGTCGAACATCATCTTCATCACCAGTATACTGGTGATCATCCTTACTGCTAGGACTATAATATGTGTTATCCATGTGGATACATCGATTCTCTTCAAGTTCGATCTAGCACTACCTCAATCTCAATCGATCCGTAGTTAATAAGCTGTGTATTTTTCTCTCTTTCCCAGTGGCAGAATTGAACGGTGATATAACAATTTGAAGTATGGTGCTTAAGAAGCTTTGATGGTTCATGATGAAGAGTCATGGACCTAGCTTTCTGATATTTATAAGGTGAAGAAAGTCATCGCAAACGGTTTTCTTTAGGTCAAGTCTTGAAGTTTCACTCTAGCTTAGCCAAAAGTTTTGCAATATTTTGTTTTAGGGTCATCATTTAAACTAAATCCTCATATGAGGAATGTATATAGTCAGTGGTATTCATCAATGCATCCACTCCTCTCACCCTCATTTGGAAATATAAAATTTTATCATGGAATGATCATTACAAGGCCGGCATAGAGAAAAATTGAAACATCATAGCCAGTAGTACTTACTATTGCTACATGGATAATGCTACATAGACTAAATTTACAAATTATGTGACGTATTACCAATAAGAAAAATCATGTTAATCAACACTTACAAATTATAATTTAATTACTAACAAGCACGTCGTATAATTTATAAAATTTTATTTATATAGATGGTCTCCTAGCATTAGCCAATACTACATGCATCGATCTACAATGTTTTTTCTTTGTTAGGCATAAAACATTTTGTAGGTAGGAAAGGGATCCCTTCCGGATCCATTCCTCTTAATTATAGGGATCCACCAATCTAGGCTATTGAAATTTGATCAAACGGCTAAAGTTATTTTAACTTTTAAAGTATGTCCATGTTTGTAGTCGTTAGATTAAATTTCAATGACTTAGATTAGTGGATCCCTAGGATTTTGAGGAAGGGATCCGGAGAGGATCCCTTTCCTTGTAGGTAATCGAAGTGCAATAATTGGATCTATGTGTTGTAGAGGCTGGGACCCATAAACACTAATTACCAGTCTTTTTTAACGCATAAATTAGGGATTCCCTGATATTTCGATGAGATATATTATTTTTTACAAGATTTTAAGGACTTTAATTAAAATACATTTACAACATCACAATAAAGTTGTGACACCGTAGTGAAGTGCAAATATATGGAAATGGATCCTCTCCTGAGCAGGAGATCAGGATTCTCCTGATCCACTAACATGGGCCGTTGGATTTTGATCCAACGATTACAATTATTATAACTTTTAGAGGGGTCCCCTGTTTGTAGCCGTTAGATCAAATTCCAACGGTCTGTGTTAGTGGGTCAGGAGGATCCTGATCTCTTGCTCAGGAGAGGATCCAATTCCCAAATATATATCGTCTTAGCTATTTATGTGAGTGGAATATAGGCTTCCTCCAACTAAGTATAGAGCAACCTTAAAACCAAGACTTAAACAATTGCTAAATAATTTGATAAGACGAGGGATTGAATCATTAGTATTGCATGAACTACTTGTGCAGCTATCATTCTAGACTTCCAGTTAATGCATCACAGTATTTTCTAGGTTGCATGACTTAGTTTCCAAAATATATACCGTACATATGAAGAAGTTAAAGTTTCACCATAAAATTAATTGACAATATACAGAGTAGTTTAACTTGTTAACAGAGTTGCAGAAATGCAGATAAAAAGCAAAAAAGATGAAGTGCATAAAATGTAGAGAGAGTTGAGAAAATTGATCTTTTGTATTTCATTAAATCAATCTTAATAGTTTGTACACGGCTTTATATATCTCAGAGAGCTTTCTTACAAACTAAGCAATTCTGTTTTAACAATTTTTTTTTCCTTTTTTTGAACAAACGATATCATCTACACTAAGGTGAAGGGGGTTGACTTAGTCTCATAGTGGGCTAGTAATAATTTAGTTCAAATTCACTTGTTTTAACAAACTTAACAAACTATCAACTAGCTAAGATAGTTATAACAATGTTAACTAACCAACTGCTCAGTCACTAATAGTCAACGTCTCCCTCAATCTTAGTTGATATTTCCAAGCATGGAATTGTAGCAATGTTTTACAAATGAAGGACTATGAAGACCTTTTGTCAACAAATCATTTGTCTGATCATCAATAGATATATAGTTCACATCCAAATCACCTCTTTGAACTCTCTCCCTCACAAAGTGATAGTTTGTATCTAGGCGTTTAATCTGAAAGTGAAACACTGGATTAGCACTCAAGACTATAATTGACATGTTATTGTAGTGAACGAGATGAAGATTAGGCAAAATACCATCCAAATCTTTCAATATGTATCTCACCTAAGCAATATTAGCAAAGCTTCTGGAAACAAAATTTTGCTCCTTAGACTACCAGGATATTGGATTATTAGCAAGAAACACTTGATTAGTTGTCATTGATCTTCTAGTATTAAGATTTGTTGCCCAATCTAAGTTTGAAAAAGCATTAAGGTTTGATTTTGTATCTGCATAATAGACAATGCCATGCTGAATTGTTCCTTGGAGGTATCTAAGTTTTCTCTTCACTACTCCCAAATGAATATCAGTTGGTGTTATCATAAATTGACAAATAAAATTTACTGCAAAAGCAATATTTGGCCTAGTGAAGGTCAAATACTACAAAGAACCAACTATACTTTTGTAGGAATTGGGATCTGACATAGGTGTATCTTCTAACATCATCATCATCTGATTATGAGGCTTACGAGGAGTGTGAGCAGGTCCCTTCATGTGTGGGATTCATATACTCTCATACAAGAATAGTGATTATTAGGGGCGGTGGATTAAGGGCGGATATAAGGATTTGTCCCTATTAATCTTTATTAAGGGCAAAAATATAGATTTGTCTCTATTAATTGTAATAGAGGCGAAACAATAAACACCCCTATTAATGTTACTACTTTTAGGGGCGAAAAAAACCACATCTACGAAATTTAGTTATTAGGGGTGGATAAATGAGCCTCTAATATATACTTATTCCATTTTTTAATTTAATAGTTTACATTCGCATTTATCGTCTTATATTTAACTTTTTTCTTAATCATTAATCAAATAAATAAGACAGTATCATATTCTAGGATAACCAACACACACATTCCCCATATTTCTCTCTTCATCTTCTTTCACAGCACAAACTCCTCATCTCCATTTTTCTTGTTCCTTCCTATTCTTCTCCTCATCTCTATTTTCTTAGTTGATACATAGCTCTCCCTTTTTCTTGTTTCTTCACATCCTTCCTCTCATCTCCATTTTTCTTGTTCCTTCATGTTCTTCTTCTCATCTCCATTTTTATCCTTCTTCTTCACTTTTTTTTTATTTCGGATCTGACATTGTTTTCTCTTCATCTCTATTTTTCTTAATTTTCTAGCTTTCAATAGTCCCTTTGATGAGTCTAAGATAGTGAAAGAGCGATTTAAAAAGGTTCATAGTAGAGAAAAAAAACTAGCTTTATTTAGTTTGATTAAAGTTTTTTTTCTTTCTCTCAACTGTTGTTTTGCAGGTAAATTTGATGATGGGGTGTGAAAAATTTGAAGTGAAATTCGTTAGGTGTGTTCTTTATACATTTTTTTTCGTTTTATTTTTGCATAATATTAGTGTTATCAAAATGATGAATTACATCATAAACCCCTATTGGCTTATTTTAGGTTTGTTTTTTTGTCTAATTTGTAGGTTTTGTTTTCTCGATGTTTTGTGAAGGGTTTGAACATAATTTCATTGTTTTACGTAATTTGTTCGTTTCTTTTCATGGATGTGAGTTCTACATAGTCTGATTGTTTTGTTTCTTATGTTTCTAAAAATAGTGTTCCCCTAATTTGCTTTTACCTTCTGTGGTGTATCTACAGGACGAATCATGGAAGACACATGCTTTTAACTTTGCATCTTTTTGATGTTTGGGATGCAGAAGATTGATTAGACATATAAATTTTTTTTTAGACTACCATTTGTATCTACGGTTTAAACTTCTTCATGATACTTGTACCATTTGTATATAATCAATTGAAGTAAGAATTATTTTAATATTAATTTTTCTGTTAACAATTTATTTTTTCGTCTAGGTTGGTGGTGGAAAATAAAACTAATCGTAAATATATTTGACCCTGAAATATGAGAATACAATCAAATAATTAATGGGAGAATGAAAACCGTTTCAATTAATACATTTCCCAAAATGCAATAATAATAAATATAAATGTCATTAAATATATATAAAAAAGTATGGGCCTTAATAATCGTCCCTAATACTTTAAGGGGGCGTTTGTTTCACCTTCTTAAATGAGATTGGACTGGCTAGGATTATTGTCCCATGTTTGGTAAGCTTGGGGACTAACTTAAATGAGACTAGCCCGGACTCGTGTGGACTATCTCCCTCGCTAGGTCGTCTTAGCGAAACCCCCCGAAAACCACGGGACTGCTAAGACCTGCTTCGTCTCCTTTGTGTCGCTTGGCGTCCTCCCTTTGCGAAGACTTTGCTTCGTCTGCGTTGCGTCCTCTCTCCAACGAGATCACGGCACCACACCAAGACGGGTACGCCGCGCAGGTGGAGACGTTTCCGACGGACTCGCTGGTCAAGAGCAAGCTCTGCAAGGTCATTCTGGTGGTGCAGAGGGCGCATGGCGATCCATTTTCGAGAGACTAGTTGCAGGCGGAGGCACCCAGCAGGACTCGGAGGCGTTGGGTGGGGGGAGGAAGTTGCCGGTGCGGCGGAGGTACTCGAGGTCGACGAGGCGAAGGCCCTGGATGAAGTACTGGCATCCGGTGTTGAGATCGTAACGGCGGTGGTTATGGGAGACCATTCCCTCATCTCAAATCCGAGAGAACTACGACGGCGGCGGTTATGGGAGACCATTCCCTCGGAGGCGTTGGTTTTGATTTGATCTCAAAGTATGAACTGGGTTTTGATTTGATCTCAAAGTATGGAACTGGGTTTCGAAGAAGAGGAAGAGCTTTTAGAAAAAAGAAGGAAAAAATGAGAGAAGTAAGAATAAAATATTAAAAGAGATATAGATAAATTAATATAATATTAGAACTTATTAATTATCCTGCTT